CCCGGTCCGGGGGCGGCTGGGCCCCCCCCCTGCGGCTGAGCCCCTGCCCTCCCTGCCGGCTCCCCGGGGCAGCGGGGCCCTGCGGCCTGGCATCTCCGGGCAGGGGCCGGGGTTCGCTCCTGGAGACAGCCCAGGGCAAGGGCAGGCGTTGCCTTCGCAGCCCCCCAAGAGCTCAGCCCCGTCCAGGGCTGTTGGAGGAGCCCTGGGGGTCTCCCCCCTGCACCCCCAGCCCTGTGTGCTGGGGCCGGGGGAGCCAGCTAAGCCCCACAGCCCCTGGCCGTGCCCCAGCCCACCCTGTGCGGCCACCCCAGGGGTGCAGGAAGGATCCCAGCGGAGCCGGTTGCAGCCCCCGGCACTTCCCGGTGTCACACCGTGCAAAGGACGAGGATCAATCGCTCTGCTGGCGGCTGCGTCGGGGGCGCAGAGCTGGTCCCCGCCAGCTGCCCAGCCCCCGCTCTGTGTCTCCTTTCTTTTCACTTCTGCACCCCCCCCTTAGCCATCCCCCCCTCCTTTGTCTCTCCTTTCTTCTCCCTCCTCCCCCCCGCCATTAGCCATGCTCCCGCTGCCGGGGTGCGGCGGGCACTCAGCCGGCGCCGGGGGCGCGGGGAAAGGTTTCATCCTCTAAATGGGTTCCCTGTCATGTTCAATCATCGTCAGCGCTGGAGAGGCTGCTCCCCGCTCATCCCACTGTCCCACTGAACCTTGCAGTGGGAGCCAGCACGTCCCCCCAGATTGCCAGGGCTCTTGGCCCCGGGTGCCGGCATGGCCTTGCCACATGGTGCCGTCCCCTGATCGGGTGGGAGGACGTGGGGACCCACTGTGGAGCCGGGTGGGTGGCACCCAGGGTGGCTCACGCCTGGCTCTGTCCCCCCAGGAACCTGCTGGACATGGACACCTTCTCCAAATCTGACCCAGGTGGGTGGTGGGACCAGGCAGGGGGCACGGCACGGGAACGGCATGGCATGGCAGCCCGGCTCTGCTCCTCTCTCCGCAGTGGTGGTCCTCTTCGTGCAGGGCTCGGGGAGCAGCGAGTGGAAGGAGGTGAGCGCAGCCCCTCTTGCCGGGTCCCTGGAGTGGCTCCCAGCCCTGTGCCGGGGGTGCTGCCGCCCCCAGTGCCCCTGCTCCTGGCTAATCCCCGGCTGGGTTAAACGGGCCCATATGGCCACCTGCATCCACGCTAATGATCCCTCCGCGTCCACGCTAATGATCCGGCCCCGCCGGCAGTGCTAATCCCCTCTGCCGGGATTAGCGCCGGGGCAGCTGCGATGGGGAAGGGTCCGGGGGGGGCCACCCTCACCCCTCTCCCTGCAGTTCGGGCGCACTGAGGTGATCGACAACACCCTGAACCCCGACTTCGTCCGCAAGTTCGTCCTCGACTACTACTTCGAGGAGAAGCAAAACCTTCGCTTCGATGTGTGAGTGGGGCGGCCGGGGAAGGGATTGGCCCCAGCTCGGGGTGGAACGAAGCGCCGAGTCGGTAATAAATAAGGATTATAAATAAGGATAATAAATAAGGATAATAAATAAGGATACGGCAATGAAAAGCACAGACGGGTGGGGGACGCAGGGCACCCCCTCAGGCACCGGCTCAGGGCTCTGCTCTCCCATCACCAGCTACAACGTGGACTCCAAGAGCTGCTCCATTTTAAAGCAGGTGAGCGCAGCCCGTGCCGGGGGGACGCGCGATGGGGCACCCCAAGGCCGTGCCCCACGCGGGTGCTGTCGGGGGGGACAGGTACCCCCAGCCTCGGGGGGCTCTAACCCGCTCTCCATCTCTCCGTGCCCCATGGGGACTGGCAGAAGGTAGGTGCCCACCGTGCACCAGCCAGGGGCCAGGACACACACAGGGATGGCTTTTGGGGTGCAGGGTGGGTGTAGGGTGGCCCGAGGGGTGCAGGATGGGTTCAGGGCATGTGGGGTTGCTCTGGAGGGATGGGTCCGGGGCGTGTGGAGCGGTTCGGGGAGGACACAGGGTGGGTCCAGGGCCTGTGGGCTGGCTCTGGGGGCACAGGATGAGTCCAGGGCACATGGAGTGGGCACCTGGAGTCGTCCTGGGGGTGCAGGATGGGTCCTGGGCTGGGGGTGGCTCTTGGGGCACAGGTTCAGGGTACTTGGGGCGGCCCTGGGGGAGGGTGGCTGCGGGTCCCACAGGTGCTTTGGGAGAGCAAGGGGTGGCTGTCCAGGGCCTGTGGGCTGGCTCTGGGGGCACAGGATGAGTCCAGGGCACATGGAGTGGGCACCTGGAGTCGTCCTGGGGGTGCAGGATGGGTCCTGGGCTGGGGGTGGCTCTTGGGGCACAGGTTCAGGGTACTTGGGGCGGCCCTGGGGGAGGGTGGCTGCGGGTCCCACAGGTGCTTTGGGAGAGCAAGGGGTGGCTGTGGGTGGGGGGGG